ATATATATATATATATATGATAAGAAGTCTGGGAATCATGTTTCAAGAGAGCCAGCCTGCACATCTGTGAAATCAGATGGCAAGGCCAATCCTGACAGCATATTAATATGCCCAGTTCTCCTAAATGCCATCTCATGACACTTCCCTGCTACTCAGTCTGTCAGTAGTTTTCTCACTGAACTTGGAAACGGAGGTCGATATAAAAAGAAAAAGAAAAGAACACCTCGCCATATCCCAGTTTACATATTTTTTTTCTGTCCACAGAAGGTGTCCCCCTAGTGGCAACAGCAAAAGCAAAGCTGGCGTGTCTCAATCTCGTGAGATCGCACACAGGCACAGGACCATTTGTTTTCCGTCTTTTCACTCTGTAATAGCTCCTGCTTCTAAACAGGTAAACTTCCATCCAAACACCCATTCCTACCTAAAAGTTAATGCTAAACTCAAAGTCTGATAAGGAGTCAGATGGATTTAAACTTTTGAGCCTCACTTACTTTTTTATTCTCTTTCCCTGGAACTGGCCCTATCGTTTTTTTTTTTTTCCATGAGGTGGTATCAGAGATTAAGATGGTGTTATCTGCCCATTAACAGTTTACTTCCTGGAGCATGAAAAAGTGCTGAAGCCCCAAGTGTCTCTTTCAATGCCATGGCTGGCCATTAAGTTGTTTCAGTTATGCAACCCCATGCTGCCTTTTTAGCAGCAATGGGAAAACCAGTCTGAGTCAGCAAGCATCTCAATGGCTTCCCTGACTCCTGTTCCCCTCTCTTTGCAGGCAGAGTAAGCAATGAAAGAGTGAGAGTTGGCACCCTGGTTATTTTTAAAGAAGTATCTCAGTTGAGCTCTTGGTTCTCTGCTTTGAATTGGACTTAACTTGGCTTCCTCCATTGACTCTACAAAAATATTGGGTTATTGTCTTCAAAACTTTAGGGATAGTAAAGGCTGTTTTATTCAAACAAGAAAAGGTGATTTAGAGCTCTAGTTTTACAAAGGAAGTCCGAATCACCCTCGGCCATAATGGTGAATCCTCTAAACCTGTGAAATACGTCTGTCAATCAGCTGCCTTCCCTCACATACATATTTGCTCAAATACTTGAGAAAAATGTACATCGTGACTGTAAAGTGTTGGGAATTGTCAAACCAGCGGAAAACTTGAGTAACAATAAATCAGTATTCAGTAATATGGATTTCTGTATCTGATATAGTTTACCTTGAAGGCAAAGCCTGGGAGCAAGTGTTTTTCAAGAAATGTTCTCCATAGCCTGGTGCATTTTCTACATGGAGTAACGATTGTTGGCTGAATAATTGAAGAAATCAGTTGGATGATGATACTACTTGTATTATGTATAACCACTCCTTTTCAAAAAGAATTTAATGAAATTTCTATAAAGAGGTATATTATAGAGTTGGATGCTACGAATAAGAAACCTTTTTACAACGGTGCTCTATGACACATCTACATGTTTTTTTCTAAATGTTACTCCTTTGTATGTTATCTTGTGTGACCTTCCCAAATGGAATCATTTAAAAAATGTATAGAGACTAGAATATATATAAAATGTTATTGATTATGAGCAGGGTTAAGTTACAAAGCCAAGTGATTATGCAAAAATTGGTGTTATGCAAAAATGTGGGATGACCACTTCATATAACAACATAGAGGATGACTACATCATTACATAATTGGCAAATCATGGCCCAACTAATTTGACAGATAACCTTTTTTTTTAAATCACCACTTATGTTACTGTTGCCTTGTACCTTAGCAATTGGTACTGCCAGACATCTGCCATTCATGCACAAAATAGTCAGACAGTAGATTTTTACCGTTGTTATAAATATGAAATGTCAGATAACCAGAGAGTCAGTATGTGAGGAGTAAGAGTAGTGTTTTTCTCATGCCCTATGTTTATAAAGCTAACTACCAGCAAGTTGAATGAACCATGGGATACATAATAAACTCATATGTGGCAACACTTCCAATGCTCAGAGCTTTCATTTGCTCATCTGAGGATTACTGAGCTCACCTTGAAAAGAGTTCATTGTAAAAATAAAAGAACAAAAATGCCAACTGGGTGAAATACTTGAGATCTATGTGCATTGAGGAAGAAGTGAAGGAATGGTGAATATTTAAATTTCTTTGAGGAGACATAAAAGACTCCTTCCACTAGAGAGGGGTCTGCCAGGGCAATGGGGAGAGAGTTTTGTTCAGGAGACAGCCCTCATACCCAAAAGGACCTCACAGAAGATGAAGCTCCCCGGAGGTACAACAAAGGGTAGTAATTCGATCAAGTCAATTCGAACTCATCCTCCCATATTGTCTCTAAGTGTCCTCTAAATGTAGTTCAGACTCGGATTTGTTGGCAGCTAGTAAGGTACAAACAAATCGGCCGTGGCAGGTAAACAACCAGAATGACTCTTAAAAGTGAAGATGGTCAAACTTGGGCTTATTTACTTTGGGCACCTCATCTAGAAAGGCCAGTCACTAGAAGGGGGTATCAAGGTTTCCTAAAGTAGAAGCGCATCAAAAAGGGGAAGCTCTCACTGAGATTGGCACCCTGTCCTGACCAATGGGCTCAGGCATTGAAATGACCTTGAAGATGCTGGTACCAGGCAAGAGATCATTGATTCTGTGACACAAAGTCACTATGAGTCAGAGCCAAGGACCCCTCACCATCCCACCAGGACAGTAACTTGCCAAAGGAGTGTAAAACTCAGAAATCCAGCCTCTGGAATAGCAGGTGCTAACAGCCATTGTTCAGTGAACAAAAGTAATATGACGGTGTTTGTTGTATGAAATAGATAGCGGTCACAGATAATGCAAACAGTAACTTGACCCAGAAGAGGGGTAAAACTGGACCCAACTCAGACTCTGCTAATTAAAATATTTCATAGTCAAAGGAAGCACCAAGTAGATGATGAAGTATACTGTTTCCAGTTGATTTAGTTATTTAATCGCTTTTGGACCCCTCATATTAGTCAGGCAGTATGTTATGTATACTCTGCTAGAGGCTGGGAGCGCTAGGGTGAATATTCCTAGTTCTTAATGAGCTTACACTACAGTGCAAAGCTGCACATTAAAATTACACTTCTAATTACAGATGTAGGAAGTGCTTTTGTTGGAAGTTGGAGCCCTGGGGCTGTAGGGTCTACTCCTTGGGCTGTAACCCACATGATGGGCAATTCCAAGCCACCGGCAGCTCCGTGGGAGATAGACTAGGCTTTCTACTCGGGTCAACAGTCACAGGCTCAGAAACCCACAGCGGAGCACTAGACATCAGCCTTGACTCGATGGCAGTGAGTCTGTTTATTTTGTCCGAAGTAGAGCGTGCTTATCAGGGGACCCAAATGGGTATCATCACAGAAGGTTTCCTTCTGAAAGGGACTTTGAGCTGAACTTAGAAGGGTGAGGAGAAAATAACTACCACACAGCAAAGAATTTACTGAGTGCATATAAATTGTACAGCAGCTCTGTACCAACAAACCAACCCAAACCGAGACTCATTAAGTCTTCAAATGTGTATAATATTTATAACAATCTCTAATAGATGCACGATCTAGAATGTATCATCACATGTAATCTACTTCTCAGCAAATAAATTATTTTTTAAAGTACTTATGATGAGGATAAGTGTCTAGCAGATACGGAATTGTGCTCTGCAAGATTTGGACTGAATATTAGTAAAACAACCTTAAAGGTCCTTTCCAAGTCTAAAACTATGATGTCTATGAGACAAATAAAAATACAATTGACTAAGAGAAATATTGAAAATGTTCAAATGTGAATAATTAACATTGAAAATGTCAATTATGAATATAGTACTGAGGCATACTTAGATGAATGTTTCATAGTATTGACAGCTAACAAGCCTTCAATAAACAATTGTTGAGCAATGGAACCTTGTTTTAGCATTATTTATTTAGAAGGATCAAGTTTTCTCTTTGAAAGCTCATAGTTATGAATTTAACCGATTTATTAATAGTTGTTCCCCAAGGAGTAATTATTTTAAAATGTGGCTAATGTGTCATGATTTGTATTGATTCTACAATTACAAATGGGTCAATTTTGCCCTCGTGATCAAGCATCTGCTCCTAGTTTCCACAGAACTTCCTCTTGTCCTAAGTAGATGGTTTACTTTACATCCTCCATTCACTATCCCCCTACCTGTGCCATTTGTATAAGAGTCATTTACTTGACAATGTATTTCTTTAACAAACACTAAGTGCCTGATAGGCCCAAATCATCAGTGACATTTTTGATGTGGTGTTTTTTGAGGATCACAGTTACAAGTTTATTCCTCAGATAAATCTTCTGTGCCACTACTGCTCCAAAGAAAGGCTTCTTGTGTTATATATTTCTAAATAATTTGAAATAAGCCACATGAAATTGTAAGCGTACCTCAATATAAACCACAAAATTAACCATGGTTGAGTTAATTCTGACCTGTAGTGAGTCCACTGGACAGCGTAGAACTGTGCCCTAGGGTTTGCGAAGGTAATATTTGTGAAAGAGCCCAGTGAGGCAATGGTGAAAGCACTCAAAGCCACCAGCCGCTTAATAGAACAAAGCCTGAGAGTCTACTCCCATGATGATTACAGTCTTGACAACAGTGTGGGGGCAGTGCTACTCTGGTCTCGGGATCGCTCTGAGGCAGAATGGCCGCGATGGCCGTGGGCTTGGGTCTGGTTTTAATCTTGATGGAAGCAGGCTGTTCTCTGTCTCTTGCGGAGTAGCTGGTCAAGTCTGAACACTGGGCCACCAGGGGTCCTTTCCTCAGTAGAGACCCCACGGTTTCTCCTCTGAACTATAATGAGAGTTCCCCCTTGGCTAACACCTAGCCCTCAAATCTTTCCTTCATAAATTTGCCTAACTGATCTTTCCTTCATACATTTACCTAACTACACTATCTGAAATGTGGGCCTCCTTGCCTCACTGTGTCCACAGGTAAATCTCTCTTCCTAACCAGTCCAAACCCTGTGATCTGGCACTTGCCCGTGCTTCTGGTTTCGCACTCGGTCGTCGTCTCAGCCCCTCTGCTTCCCAATCTCTTGAACACACAGCTTGGCACACCATCTCCACACAGCTGTTCCAACCGTGGTAAAGATGACTTGCCGTTGAAACAAGCAGCCGCTCCATGGGAAAAAGACCAGGCTTTATCCCCGTAAAGAGTCACATTTTCAGAAACACAAGGGCAGCCCTACCCTGCCCTAGAGGGTCACTAAGGAGCCCTGGTGGCACAGTGCTTACAGGGGGGGGTTGCAATCAGCATGGTCAGCCGTTTGAAACCACCAGCAGCTCCACAACAGGTACAGTCTCGGAACCCCACAGGGGTCACTTTGTGGCAGCATCCGCTCATGGCAGGGAGAACGAGAGCACTGATTCAACGGCAGTGGCT